AAGCTCACCATTATAAATAATTACAATAAAATGATAGAAGGGTTATAACTGAGGTATGTATGAATGCAGGTGCTATGAAAACATAGAGTATAAGCCAGGCGTGGTGGCTCACACCTGTAATCCTAACATTCTGGGAGGCTGAGATGGGAGGATCACTTAAAGCCAGGAGTTTAAGACCAGCATAGCCAACAAGGTGAAACCCTATGTCTACCAAAACATACAAATATTTAGGTATGGTGGCACGTGCCTGTAATCGCAGCTACTCAAGAGGCTGAGGTGGGGGAATTCCTTGAACCAGGAGGCGGAGGTTGCAGTAAGCCAAGACCGCACAACTGCACTCCAGCCTGGGTGAAAGAGTGAAACCCTGTCTTCAAAACACGTAACAAAAAAAACAAGAAAACACAGAGCATAATTGATTCTGTAACAGAAAACAATGGGAAAATTTACAGAGAAATGACATTTGAGATATGCCTTAAAGCAGGCATTCCAGACCCAAATTCCACTTGGGACCAAGCAGGAAAATAAAGTAAGACGTTTGGTTATGGTCAAGACTATGGCAAATTGAAGACTTCATGCATTCCTAAAAGGGGTAGCTGTTACTCAGCCCAGCCACTTGTTGCCTTATAGGACTATCAGGCCCAATGTTTTCAATTTCAATAAAAAATGTTTCCAATTTTTAAAGAATAGATGGAAATCAGATTTTTGCATGAAAATCGGTTGGCAACTAATTAAAAAAAAAACAAAAACACTTCTAAGGTCAAACAAAATACATCTGCAGGGTAAACGTGGCCTGCCAGCCAACAGATTATAATCTCTAATTTGATGTATAAATCTACAGAGTAAAGAAGAGAGAAGGCGGCGTTCTGTACATATAGAACACTGCATCGTTTATTGAACTCAAATTTCTAAACAGTACCAAAAAAACACCAAGTCTGTACCATGCAACCCATTTAAAGTCGTATTACCTTAGATTTCACTTTAAAGCTACAGCACATTTGATAATGAAAATTTTATGTATATGTCTGGAGTGAAGAAAGTTCTTCAGCCAACATTTTCTAGAGCAGAAGTAGCAAAAAGTCTCAAATCTATACACAAGTAAACATTAAAAGCTATTTTTAAAAGTATTTGTGAAATCAGAACTCTCTTATGTCAAATTTGAAATGTGTCCTATTGTTGTAAAGGATTATTCCATGATTTAAACAGCATTAATGTCTAAAAAGTAAGCTTAGTAAAGTCTATAAAACTATAAAAATATTTTATAATTCTATAAATATTCTATTCATACACTGTAAGTGATTATACAACTATCTATTTTGAAAACATTTCTACATACCTTTTTTGGTTTGGGACCCTGAAAGTTGGAAAACAAAAGAATTTATCAATTTTAAAGAGAATTCTGATAATTTTAACAAAACTATCATGATTATGTAAGGTGTTGAACTTAGAAGAAGCTTGGTAAAGGGCAGAAGGGAACTCTCTGTACCATCTTTGTAACTTTTCTTGCAAATCTAAAATTATCCCAAAATAGAAAGCTTTTTTAAAAAGAATTCAGACAAAACTACAAATAAGCATAGGAAAACTAAGCTTACCTACTGAAGAATTTTTATATGTAGATTTTACACTATTTCTTAGGACAATCAATGATCCATGTTTAACAAAATGCCCTGTTACTAAACAGAGTACTAGTAAAGAAGGCACTGGTTTAAAGGTTCAAAGGACAATAAATCATTGACCAATCACTGGTACTAATATCAAATTTGCAAGTGTGGGAATCATCTCACAAAGAAATAACTTTTCTGTAAAGTTAGGCTGATGATTTTTATAGAAAGGGAATCTGTTATTTACTGTACGCAAAACAGTCTTAAAGGCACTGGAGATAAAACAGTAGAGACTTTGTTGCCATATAATTTTTACAAATAGCTTCTATTTCATCATGTTTTCTATTAATTAATAGTCAACATATTTCCATGGTGAAATAAGTACTAAACAGCTGAATATGCAAATAGCATTGCTCTGGTTCTCAAGTAGCCATATTTTAAAGATGGGCAAATTGTCACTTCTCACTTGCACTTTTAATATAAATCAGGTTTGGGATAAGTACATACCCTCATTTCTCTTATATGTCATAAGGGCCACTATGTAGTGAAGTAATTCTCAAAGTTCAAAGGACATAAGAATCATATGGGAAGCTTGTTAGAAATGCGTATTTCTGGACTAAACGTGTATACACTCACTTCTCTTCCTATACTGTGGTTCAGAACATGTTATGGGTTGAATTGTATCCAAAAAAAAATCATATGTTGTCTGGGCATGGTGGCTCATACCTGTAATCCCAGTACTTTGGGAAGCCGAGGCGGGTGGATCACCTGAGGTCAGAAGTTCAAGACTAGCCTGGCTAACTACTAAAAATACAAAAATTAGCTGTGTGTGGTGGCATGCACCTGTAATCCCGGCTACTCAGGAGGATGAGCCAGGAGAATCACTTGAACCCAGGTGGCGGAGGTTGCAGTGAGCTGAGATGGCACCATTGCACTTCAGCCTGAGTGACAGAGCAAAACTCTGTCTCAAAAAGAAAAAGAAAAAAAATCATATGTTGGCTGGATGCACTGGCTTAGTCCTATAATCCCAGCATTTTGGGTAGTCAAAGTGAGAGAATCATTTGAGCCCAAGTGTTTGAGACCAGCCTGGGCAACAAAGCAAGACCCTGTCTCTAAAAAATTTTTAATTAGTTGGATGTGGTGGTGTGTGCCTTGTACTCCCAGCTATTCAGGAGGCTGAGTTGGGAAAATTGCTTGAACCAGGGTGGCTGGAGGCTGCAGTAAGCCATGATGGTACCACTGCACTCCAGCCTGGGTGACAAAGCTAGACAGTCTCAAAACAAAAAGAGAAATTCATATGTTGAAATCCTGATCCCCAGTATTTCAGAATTTGACCTAATTGGAGAGAGGGTCATTGCTGATTTTATTAGTTAAATTAAAATAAAGCCATACTGAATAAATTAAGATGAGGCCATACTGAATAAGGTGGGTCCCTAATCCAAAATGATTTGTGTCCTTATATAATAATAATAATAATAAAGGACACTTGGACATATATTCTCAGATGGAGAATGCCATGTAAAGAATGAAGTTTTGTTGCCACAAACCAAGGAACTACTAAAAGCCAGGAAAGAAGTCTGAACAGATTCTCCCTAAGGCCTTCAGAGGTATCACAGACCTGCTGACACTATGTTCTGGGACTTCTAGTCTCCATAATTGTGAGGCAATAAATTTCTTTTCTTTAAGCCACTCAGTTTGTGGCACTTCCTTACTTAGGAAACTAATACAGTAGATTTGGAGTTGAGTGGATTCCTGGAATCTGCATTTTTAACAAATACTCCAGGCCACACCTTGGGAAACATTGGGGGAAGGATCTAAGAAGAAACTTAGGTAACAAATTGGAAAGTAACGAATAGGTGCTTCCTGTTCTCCCAATTTACTAGCAATTGTAAATTGGCTTAAGGTCCATTTGCATTCTGCCAGGAATGCTCTCCACTCCCTATTTCTTCCCACCATTTGTGGAAAACTCATATTTAGACTTTAGAACAGGTTGAAAAGCACCACTCTTTCCTTCCCTTGCTTCCCTCACTGAAATTTTATCATTTCCAGCTTTGTGTTACCCCATTTTAGATACTTCAGTTGTTACAGTTGTAAAGCTGTATCGTAATTAATTTGTTTCATCTGTATCCCATTAAGCAGGGTTGTCATCATATTCTTGGCATCCTTGGCTTCTAGCCCAGTGCCAAGTACAAAGAATGCACTCTATATTTTCCCTTAATTAATGAATTTAGTTAAGGAATTACATTCTCCACTTCCTCTGGTTTTAATAATAGAAAATGTCTTGATGGAAACCACATTGAAGAAAATCAGAGGTCGGGCGCGGTGGCTCACACCTGTAATCCCAGCACTTTGGGAGGCCAAGGGAGGTGGAGGAGGTCAGGAATTCAAGACCACCCTGGCCAAGATGGTGAAACCCCATCTTTACTAAAAATAAATAAAAAATAAAAAAAAAATTAGCTAGGCATGGCGGCAGGCGCCTGTAATCTCAGCTACTCAGGAGGCTGAGGCAGAGAATTGCTTGAACCTGGGAGGCGGAGGTTGCAGTGAGCGGAGATCGCGCCCTTGCACTCCAGCTTTGGAGACAGAGCGAGACTCCATCAAAAAAAAAAAAAAAAAAAGGAAAGAAAAGAAAAAAGAAAGAAAGAGAGAATGAAAGAAAATCAGAACAGAGATACTCTCATAGCTATATGTTGGCCTGTCTCCTTGGTGAAAATATGGCAGCTGAGGAGTCCAGAAAAACAAAATGAGAAGCTTTATCATATTTAACTAATGTAGGGTGAGTACTTGAATCACAGAACAATTCATATTTCCACAAAAGACAACATAAAACATCTTTTCAAAGCAGAGTAAATTGCACCAGCTTTTAATTAACTGCTAGAGAGGTACTAAAACATTTCCGCCAAGTTGCAATAAGAGAGAATTTAGTGGAAAGTTACTGGAAGTTACTAGGTTGGGGACCCATTTTCAAGCTTAGCAACATTAGAGATTAGGATACCGTGTGACAGCTTTGACTATCTCCCGTTTGCAGAAACTGGTTTGGGACGCCTACCTGTCCGCCCGATCCAGGTAAGGGAAGCCATTGCTGAGAAGAGGGCCAACCCACCCCAGGGTTTGAGTTCTTTCCCAAACCCTCCCGCTCCGCTGTAATATATGACCAGCTCTTATTGCATCATTTAACACCGGTGAAGCAGAATCAATGGTCGCTCCTCCACCTGTCTGTTCATTTGCTCTGCTCACCATAAGGAGTCAAGCTCCACCGCCGTAGTCAGCAAAGGCTGAGCTCAGATTTTGTGGACGAAAGCTCCTGGGTTGTCCGGACGACAGGCCCCGCCCACTTGCGCTCCATCAAAAGTGCGCAGCCGCGCTGGGGCCCTTCCGGCCGGCGCCCCGCCCCCTTCATGACAGCTTGCCCCACCTCTCCCAACCCCGCCCAGCTTCGCAGTCGACGGACTGAGGGTCGAAGTGTTCGAGGCTTTTACTGCTCCGGCATGCGGAAAAGTGCGTGAGTGCCGCCGCCGGGGAGGTTTGTTCGGTTCCTGGATTCTGGGGTCTGGAGACTAAGTGTGCTCTGGGCGAGGACCTCCGGGTGTGGGGAAGAGGGTTCCGAGCGTCTCTGACGTTGACAGATTATTTCCTAGAGTGTGTTGGTGGGTGATCTTTCAGTGAGGGTTTCGACAAGGAAGGGAACCGGCTTGCGACTGGTTCAAGCAGCGGACACCCGGTGGGCGGCCTGGGCCACTGCAGTTTAGGCCAGCAGGGGGATGGGGCTCGTTTGGCGATTTAAAGAGGGAAGTAAGTTGGCTCCAGGAAGGTTGATTATTTTAAGATTAATGACCTTCGGATTCCTCTCTGCTCTATTGTTTACTTTCTGTGCAGCGTAAGTGTCCTTTTTTCTAAGAGCGCCCTAAGCAAAAATTGAAAATGAAGCAATTCCTGGGTAAAATATTCCTTAACATGAAGATCGCTGAGGCCCCAAAAACTTATTAGTTTCCCAAGGTCACAGACGAATTGTACTAACCAGTAACACAAGCTTCAGAATTTCAGTCTCCTCCCACATGAAGGAACGCCGGCACCGTACACCAACAGGAAAACTAGAATTAAGTGAGGCTGTTCTCCTCAAGCCCGACTGAGTTCTCTATAATTTTAGGGCATACCTGCACCCTGTTTTAGCATTATGAGACCTGAAATACTTCTAAATTACTGGCACCATTTCTCATCTCTGAATTCTAAGTTTAGAATGCTCGATCCCTTCCAATGTTACTGACCACATGCATTATTCATAAATAGTAGGACCAAGCTAGTCTTTGTGAGTTAAAGTGTTGTCATCCCCATTGTAACAAATCCAGGTTGTGTAGTATTTATTAGTATTTCACATCCATATCCTGGTAGCAAGATGAAAACATTTTAATAGCGACTTTGTACAGAGTTCTTATTCAGTTTACTGTAGCTATTTGATATGGAAGTTAAGGTTTCCTTTTAAATTAGTTTCAGTAAAACTAATGTTTAATGATAAAACACCTCAGTCAACTCAAATTAGGATTGATGGGGGTAAGGAGATGGTACAGTAATTCCAAGGTACCTTAAAATAGTGGGCTTTTAGAGGACAGGCTTTACTGAAGCTCTCACTCTACCTCATGGGGAAGAATGATTAACAACCTTAGGCACCATCACCCCCAACAAGATGACAATTCTCCATTAGCCCAGAACTGGAACTGGTTAAGTCTTAACTCAGCGTAGGATTACTGGGGGGAAAAAAGCTATTAATAGGCACTGCATCCTCTCTCTCATCCAGCCCACACCTCCAAGTTTTCAGAATCATAGGGGGCTTCAGTCCTTAACTCACTTGGCTCTTAAAACAGTAACCTCCATAACTTCATGCACAGTTCAGGAGCAGCCCCAGGGCCCTGCTGAACTCAATTTGTTTATTCACTACTTTGTGAACCCAAGGAGACCTATTTCTCTTAATAGCTAAAATAAACCTAAATGCTTCAAGGTAAACTGCATTAATTCATATAAGTTAACATATCAAAGAAAAACAAATGTACCTTAGCCAAACTAGTTACATTTTTTCTAGGCGAGTCTTTTATAATACATAATTTGTAAAAAGACCAACAACTAAAAAGGACAACTTAAGCCAGGTCCCTAAAAGCTTTCAAAATTACAAATTGTGAATTAAATGAAGCTGTGCTGTTTGTCAGGCATTAAACAGGTTATAGTTTGCAATTTGAAATTACATCTATGTAGATTTAATTTTAAATTATGTGAAAAGCACATGGTTCCTAAGTGGTGTTTTTTTGTTTTGAGATAGGGTCTCAAAATGAATTCTATCCAGGCAGGAGTGGTGGCACAATCATGGCACACTATAGCCTCAACCTCCTGGGCTCAAGTGATCCTCCCACCTCAGCCTCCAAATGGCTAAGACTACAAGCACAGGCCACCATGCCTGGCTAAATTTTTTTTTTTTTTTTTTTTTTTTTTTTTACTTTTAGTAGAGATGAGATCTCACTGTGTTGCCCAGGCTGGCCTCAAATTCCTAAGCTCAAGCCATCCTCCTACCCTGGCCTCCCAAAGTGCTGAGATTACAGGTATAAGCCACCATACCCAGCATAAGAATCATTCTTCAATAAGATTATTTCACACTGGCAATGGCTGTCTGCCAAAAGAAAAAAAAAAGTTTAAAAAATGAAGTAGTTAATATAGTGGGTTAAATACCCTCATCTAATTTTACTCCCTTCCAAAACTACTAAATCTATAGTAAAATGATAAAAAAAAAAATTGGAAAAATGGGGACAGGAGAAAACAGCAATAAAACATCAGCAGCTGGAAAACAGGAGAATGAATGTGACTTGGCACACCAGAAAAACCCAATTTACTCTGCAAAATTCTCAAAAGGCACTGAAACAGGGGCCATAAAATTGGAAATGAAGAACGTAATAAAACAGACTACATGAAAGCTATTTGAGAAACGCCTCTAAGTAACTCTACCACCTTACTCCCATAGAAGACTAGAGGCTTATTTCTGGACAAAGTATTACTAGACCCTGGACTGGGGCATCCTCAGGCATTCTAGAGTTCATGAGAAGCACACTGGAAACAAAATTAAGTGAATTTAGGTATATACAGTGCTGGATACAGGACTTACATTCCTCTTTCATTTTTAATGCTTAATAGACAAATCCTTAGAAGGCTGGAAGACTCTACTCTGGGGAACTGACCAGCCCAGGAGGAGCAATCCAAGATACATGCGTGTAATCCCAGCACTTTGGAAGGCCGGGGCAGGCGAATCATGAGGTCAGGAGTTCAAGATCAGCCTAACCAACATTGTGAAACCCCGTCTCTACTAAAAATACAGAAATTAGCTGGGCATGGTGGCACGTGTCTGTAATTTAGCTATTCAGGAGGCTGAGGCAGGAGAATCACTTGGACCCATGTGGCAGAGGTTGCAGTGAGCCGAGATCACCCCACTGCACTCCAGCCTGGGCAATAGAGTGAGAGACTTGGTCTCCAAAACAAAACAAAACAAGATACTGACATCAGAGGTTCCCCAGTAAAGACCTACTCAGAGCACCCTAAGTGCAGCTCAAAGTCTATAAGCTTCCCACATATACAGATCTAAAAAGCATTTTTGTCTTTTCACTCATATGAGTAGACAGAAAAGAATGATCAGACTGGAAGAAAGCTCAGAAGTGATAGAGACAAAAGCAAGCAGAAAAGCAATTTGAAGTAATAGAAAATTTCAAGAAAGCAAGTATCAGTGAACTTGGAAAGAAAATAGGCCTACATAGTATGCTTGTTATGTGTATTAGCTCATAAATAGTAATAAGGACAATTTTACAGGTATTAATGTAGAAGTAATATTGGTTCTGGCGTGATTTTTTTTCTCTCCTAAGAGGAGCCTGAAAAGCAGTAAATTTATGACCTTCGGCAAGAAAAGGTCTTGGCTTCACTGCTATGCTGGCAGCAACTGCCTTTCAGGTTTTTTCATTTATTCAAGTGTATATTCCCAGGGTTCCCTCCCCAGAGAGGCATACCCCAAGTTCTGTGCAGCCATTGACTGGGGGCAGGTAGAGTACCTATGCTACCCACGAGTTGGCAGCCTTTAGATCAATTTCTACTTCCATGTGTTATCTCAGCATCTCTTAGCTCTATTCTTAGACTTTTGCTGGCATTTCTATTTTAAGTTTTGCTGAAGTAGAATTGATAATGAATTACACTTATACAATTTGATAAATTTGGTTCATATATATACACATCTATATCTGCCTATTTATAGATATATATGAACTATATAGTATATATACTGCATATAGTATACATGTAATTTGTGTTACCATGGCCAGAAATCAGTAGACTGGCACCTCTATTTGTAAATATATATATATTATAAATAGAGGCACCATTGCACTCCAGCCTGGGCAACAAGAGCAGAGCTCCCCCTCACAAAAATAATCAAAGTGTGTGTGTCTGTGTGTGTGTGTGTTGTGCCCGGGTGTGGTGTCTTACACCTGTAATTCTAGCATTTTGGGAGGCCGAAGTGGTGGCCAGATCACAAGGTCAGTAGATCAAGACCATCCTGGCCAACATGGTAAAACCCCATCTCTACTAAAATTAAAAAAAAAAAAAAAAAAAAAAAAACAGGCATGGTGGCCAGCACCTGTAGTCCCAACTACTCGGGAGGCTGAGGCAGGAGAATCGCTTGAACCCAGGAGGTGGAGGTTGCAGTTAGCCAAGATCGTGCCACCGCACTCCAGCCTGGGTGACAGAGACTCTGTCTCAAAAACAAAACAAAACAAAAAACAAAAACTGCTTCCTGCTTGCCCTTCGGAATAATTCAGTCCAAAAGCCATTATGTGGGGCTGAGCAAGGTAGGCATCTGGGGAAGGGACGTGTTGAGAGAAAGGCTGGCAAGGTAGCGCAGCAGGGGGTACGGAGCCCAAATGCAGTGAGTAGGGCCTCTGGAAGTAAGGGACTGTGCACAGCAGCAGCCCAGCAGGGGATGAGGAGGGTGTCCTGTTAGGGTGAAGGAAATGGTGGCACAGGTTTTTGGAGTGGGAACAAAAGGTGAGCCTTATCCACAAGGGAGGAAGTGGTGCAGCGTAAGTTGCTTGAGCCCAAGAGGGGTAGGCTAGGGGAAAGGAGTAATGAGAAGACAACGCATGTAGGATGGTGGCAGTGGCACTCTGACATTAGGTGGCAGAGCTCAGGGAGTAGAGTGTGTGCTGAATGGTGACAGCAACAGGAATTTGATTACATAGTAAGAGGAGTGATAATTATAAAAAGTAAATTTATTAAGGACAAGTAGGAACCAGACTTACTGTTGGACAAGAGTATTCAACCCATGTAAAGAGGGGAAATGAAAATAAACCCTGTAGTATTGGAACTGAATGTTAGGTATCAGAGTATATGGAGATTAACATAAAAAATACAACAGAACACCAAAATCTGCATGTTTTATACACTTGCAGCTTTGTCACTTAGAGGACCTGGGAACAGACAGTCCCATGGTAATTAGCATTTCTAGCACCCAGAATTTGGTTTCTAAAACATTCCATCCAGATTATATTTTCTAAATGCTATTGTCCATTAAAAGGACTAGGTTCCTTGGAGAAATAATTTTATAATAGACAATATTAGCAAACACGACTTTAATTGGGTAATCAAAATTAACATCAATCACAATGGAACAAATTTCAATTGCATCCACCTGATAGGATGCAGTGTTAAACACTCACTATTTAATCCCACAACTCTGACGGGTAGTGGGAATTATTTTCTAGGTTTAGGCTGTCATGGTGCCTTTATGGAGCCTCCTCTCCTCAATAGCATTAACACATTACACAGAAAGAAGCATGATTTCTCTCACTGGATGTCACCTGTTCCTCAGGGACACCCTCTTACAGGTTTTTTCTGGCCTCTTCACCACCAATCTTATTGCGCATCTACTGTTCCAACCTGCTTAACTCACTCAGTTTCTGCTAGTTTTTAAGCCTCCCTTTGGATAAGCACCAATCGAGATTTGATCAGGCCTCTGCTCAATGCCCGTCCAATGGGTCTGGACTTGCCTAGAGAGCAGGGTAAAGATAATCTTTTTTTTTTGATGATAAGCAAAACTCAGGCTCAGCAAAGGTAAATCATCTGTACATTATGCAGCTGGGATTTAAATCTAGTTCTAACTCACTCCACTGTGGCGAAAAAGGAGGTATACCTACCTATCTGTGACAATCCACTTTCTCTCTCATTTACTTCATACGACTTCTCACAATCGTTAACTGTCTTCTTTGCTTATTATGCCTCCTGTAGGAAAAGTTAATTCTGTGACAGCAGGTTATTTTATCTGATGTGTTTATAACTATATCCCAGTAAATGGAACAAAAAAAGTTCTCAAGAAATATTTATTGAATGTAAAAAAAAGTTAGTTTTCTTAATATAGATAACCTTTTCTCTTTCTAAGACTACAGTGCAGCTAACTGCAAATTTTCCTTTTCTTTAGGTATGTTATGCATAAAAGTGGATAATTTACAGGATAAATGAAAATGGCCAATTCTTTAAGAGGAGAAGTATTAAATCTTTATAAAAATGTAAGTAATCATGTTGCCAATTTTATAAAACTGTTATTATATGACATGGATTGTTTAGAAATATACAATCTTTCTTTTTGAAGCTGCTGTATCTTGGACGAGACTATCCAAAAGGAGCAGACTATTTTAAAAGGCGTTTGAAGAATGTTTTCCTTAAAAACAAAGATGTGAAGAATCCAGAGAAGATCAAAGAACTTATTGCACAGGGCGAATTTGTAATGAAAGAGCTAGAAGCCTTATACTTCCTTAGGAAATACAGAGCTATGAAGCAACGCTATTATTCAGATACCAACAAAACTACTTGATCATTACTACCTTAATTTAGCTGACAATCAGTGCCAGCTGTTTATGTATATCAGCTATTGTAAAATAATTCTAACTTAAAATGGGAAGATCAAAAATCCGTGAGCTGCCCTACTGAACTAAGTAGGTTTCAGCTTCTGTTCATACTGAGAGATTTATCACCAACTTTATGCTCAATTTTGATACGAAGATAGCAATTTAACTATACTACCACTTATAATGAGCACCCAATTTTGAATGAAAATATACACTTAATTCTGTAACTTAATAGGACTTAGCCAATTATTTTTAACTTATTTCTCCATTTTACTGATCAGAATGCCATTTACTGAACATTGAGAATAAGCAAAATAATTTCTTACACACTTATTTCTCTTACTTTTTGAAATGAATCCCTTATTTTTTCACTGAATTTGGTACATTAACTGCACATATTCAGGGCTCACTACAAAATAAACAGTTCCTGGTAATGATTTAAATGTAGTTATAGAAGTAATAATATGTATGGAGTCATTACTTCTGCCTTGAAATAGTCTGCTGGTGACAGGCATTACATACATAACTATTCAATTAATTATTTCCATTATTAATGTTATTGCTGCTACCTTTGGGCCTAAAACCAAATTACCTGTTGTGTATCAATTACCTTCTTTGATAAAAGGAAATAAATAATGTTATTCTATTATTTTGTCATAAAGGCCAACTTGTTTTGCATCTACTTCTAAATATGGTTTTAAATTTAAGCAAACACACCTTGACAAAGTATCCACAGCACCTTTTATAAATAAAGGATATTTCTAACTTACAAGCTGCATAAAAGATTCACTGGTATACTACAGTGTCTATGGCTTATAAAGTATTCCATATCCATTTTGGGGCAAACAGTTCAAATTCCATGAAGAAATAAACACTCATAGTCACTGTAACTATTTTTATTACATTACAATAATTAGGAGTAGTACAGTTCATGACAAAAATATTACAAATTTTAGATCACTTCACAGCACATACTCCTATAAACATTTAAAAGTTAATTTCAATTAAAAGAGTGGTCATTTTTAATGTTTGATATGACCAACATTCCTAGGTCAGCGCAACCAAATGATGGAAAACAACTGGATCACACTGCATATGTCCCACAAAAGAAAGCACAATGTACAAAATGTGCATGTTTCAGTTTACACTATACAAAAATAGTTAAAATACATTCCAGGTAAACATGTTACATTAAGAAATAGTACTAGTAAGAAATTGGCACTCAAAAGGAAAAATGCAAAAGTATTTTCAACATGAAAACACAAGACAGTGGAATTGGAAACTTTGGGATAAAACACTGTAACCCAGGTAGCTCTAATGGGGGAAAAGGGGAGAGATGGGCCCTCAACATTTCTGCAGATAACTTTTTTTTTTCCCTAAATTCATCTAAATTACCTATCATTATCCCAAACAGGCACTTCAAACTATTAAACTAAAACACAAATCTTAATCTAGTTATGACTATTCCTCAATAACTCATCTGAGTATCTTTAGAAAGAAATTTTCATTTTCTGACAGCTATCAGTTGTATGCTATTCAATTTCTCAATGCAGAATTCATGCTTTTTCAGTATTAACACAGAAGTTATCAAATATAAATTCAGCTTTAAAGTAACTGCTGGGTTCTAAAAAACATTACTACATAATTATCAAAAAATCATTACTTTTTGACAAATGGAAATCTTCAGATAGTTTTTACTATTTAAAAAAATCCCCTAAACTGTGTAGATACTGTTTGAAGAAAACATGGTTAGAAGAAAAAAAAAAAAATCACTGGAATACAAATGAGATGAACTTGTGCAAACTGTAACTTAACATGCCCCACAGTTTATATATATATTAGGACAAAATTGTGCAACGGTGGCAACAGTTTTGATAACCTATAAAAGTTAGGTTCTAAGTTCCTATGCAGTGTGACTCAGTTAAAATAGAGCCTAGAATGCCTAATTGGGAATATTCACTCAAATGATACAGTATATCTGCTATATTCTTCCACAAAATGTTAATGCCTAAGACTATGTAATTTAGCAATTTTTAAAAACTTCAACAAGGATTTTTAAGGCTGTAATAATTAGATAACATTTATTTCTAGAATTCTTCCCCCCTTTTTAAAATCTCTACAAAAACCTTTTGTTAAACCATTCAAAGTTCACATAATAAAAGGTAATTACCACTACCTTAAAAAAAATGCCCATCTACATCAAAAATTCAAGAGGCCTAAATATCCCCTCATAAGCACTGCAGTTCCTGAAGTATGGCCATTTCTTTCTGTGCAGAAACAAGAGGTACTGTTTAAGTCTTAACACCCTACCTAAACAATGTCCCATAGATCTGTAGTTTAGCATAGCATTTCAGAAATCATTTTTACATAGAAGTTTCCTTGTCTGTGAACTAGTTCAGCACCTGTTTATTTGTACCCAGATAAAACTATTGATTTTTAAGTCTATTTTAATTATGTGGAGAAAGCTGGAATATTACACATTTGGGAATTTTAATATGAGTATCTGGCATACACCTTAATGTGTACAGTAATTGTCCCAATAGAATCACATAGTTATGCCAAATAAAAAACAATATAATCAAGTTTATTTCTTTAAAACAATGAAGTGATTTACCTAAAGTAGCTCGACCAAAGAGTTGCACTGGAATCATAGCAAAACAATTACAGAACTGGCAGAACCTTAGAGACCAAACCCCTTCTTTGCAAAACTAAAATACACATTGTGTTATCTCTGGGTCATATGCCAAAGGCCTTACTAAGATATTACAGACCATGCTAGCACTACCTAAGGACTGGGATTATGTCTCTTGCTTGGGGATACCATATACCCAGTGCCTTGTGCAGTGACTGGCAACTGGTAGGCACTCAATAAATATTTGCTGAATAAATGAGTTCTGCAAAACAGCTTTATGAGGCTGAGGCGGGCAAATCACTTGAGGTCAGGAGTTCAAAACCAGCCTGGCCAATAGGGTGAAACCACATCTCTACTAAAAATACAAAAAGTAGCCAAGCATGATGGCACATGCCTGTAATCCCAGCTACTCGGGAGGCCAAGGCACGAGAATCACTTGAGCCTGGGAAACGGAGGTTGCAGTGGGCCAAGATAGCGCCACTGCATTCCAGCCTGGGTGACAGAGTGAGACTCTGTCTCAAAAAACAAACAAAACAAAAGAAACTAAGCTTTATGAATTTAAGTATTTTTCATCTTAAGAAGATGTCTGGTTATTAAAACAATGGAATGTATTACCGTTGCCAGGGGTAGTCCTAGTTATAGATTACCTAAGGAATCATTTCAGCACTATCTTTATTAAGTTATCCTTCTATCAGATAAAGTCTGTCTATTCCTACCAGGTTTAAAAATTCCTACTGTTGCTAATGAATTGGGCAGCAAAGAGATGTTCAAAGGATCAGCAACCACCTGAAAATTAGCTATAAGGTCAAATCCCATTATGATATCTGTCAGATTCTTTTCAGCCCTGAGAAAATAAGATGTAGGGCTCAAAATTTTGATGTGACTTAATGGGAAACCTTCATGGAGATATCCACAAGAGCAGTAAATCTTATGGTTAGGGGAATTACAAGTATTAAAACTGCATCAAGTCATGGGGCATGTGGACGGCAGGCAGGCAAAAGGACACTAATACAGAAGGAGAGTCCTAAAACAAGAATGGATATTCAAATATAAACTTCACCTCTTGCACAATTTTGCCCAAGACTGGCATTGAAGATGGTAACATAGGTTAAAAAGTTACAGATTGTGCTCAGCTTGAAAAATAAGTGTATCCTATGTAAACAGAATATAAATCACACAGTTGTAAAAAAGCTAAGAGTTTGAGATGACTTCTTTTAACATGAAGAAATGGATAGCAAATGATTTCCTCAAAATCAGAGTCCTAAAAGACACCTATCTAGAACCTAAGTCACCTTCCTCCTAGTCCAGTGATATTTTCACCTCACCACACCATCTCACTTCATATATTTTAAAATAAGTGACATTGTAAATGTATTAAAAGGATTGTTTTTATTCATATTTATGTTTAAAGCATTATTCTTAAATATGGATCAGACTTTAAAAGTGTTTATGAAATGTTAATTTAACCAGTGTTAAGAGAACTAGCCAAACCTAGAGATTTTAAAACTTCTTCACTTCATTGTTTAAAACAAATTAATGTCTTGGCACACCATCACCCCAAAATCTCAGCTTTTGAGTTAATATTTAAAAGTAATTTTTAAAAAAGAGTTTGTTTTCTTAAAAACAAAAGTGATGCTCTTGATTTGTCAGCAAGATCACATTCCAGACTCTCCTAATCCCTCCCCATTTTGACCAACCAATGCATGACAACACTGCATGACCGTGGGGACACAGCCCATGCTGTGACACTCTCTATGAAAGCTCAAAGGTTCACACAAGGCCTGGGCCTTGCAACCTTTGTCTCTTCAATACCTACTAAGCTATAACTGGCCCAAATAAACTTTAGTATCACCAGCAGACTTAAAACTATCTTCAAAGACTGAAGTTGAAGAAAAGATTATACTATGAAAGAGCAATCTGACACAGGGAGACTACATTTAATTCCTATAATTTTTAATACATGTTAAATTCTTTTCAATTATTATAAAAATTTAGTAGCGTGTAAATATAGCCCCAAAATGGTTGCTACACTCCCCATTTCATACTGGGTCTGCCTTAACAGGAAAAGCTATTAGGAGTCTTTATAGTAATTTATCTAATGTGAAAAGGAAATGGCCTTATAATAGTTTCCATTGCCTTGTAATTTTTTTCCATTTTTTTTCTTTTTATAGAAAAAATATAATATTTTTGGGAGGGTGACCATGACTAACAGCAGTGGAAAGGGAAACAAAACCTTTGTGAACAGTGTAACTTTACATTCATCAGGGATGACAAACTATAGGACATGATGCCTAGAAGAATCACCAGGAAGCCCATAAATTTGTGTTCCCTCAATGTTTGAGTAAAACCAGTTATAAAGCCTCAAATGAAATTATAATTAGTAATTAATCCATTTAGGGGACTAGATAAGACACAGAATAGGGATGATTCAAAAGCTTCATTAATTTGTTTCACACCAACGTTCACAATTGGTAAGAAAAATAGGAAGTAATCAACTGCATGCACCAAAAACCCCAAGACAGAAATCTTAGGTATTCAGTTTCTTTTTCACAGGCATTGCTAGTTCAAAAACCAAAACTCTGGGAATACTGGCACTTAGAGGAAAAAAAAAATTTCCACTGTCATTTTAAAATAAGCATTTAAGGTAAAAGCTAACAGTCTGCATGGAGCAGGGAAAAAAAAATTAGGTAATGCTAAAACAAATGCTAATAATTTAGTGTAATGTACAAAAATTACCACTTTTACTAGTATGCCTTAAGAAAAAAGTACAAATTGTATTTACATAATTACACACTTTGTCTTTGACTTCTTTTTCTTCTTTTTACCATCTTTGCTCATCTTTTCTTTATGTTTTCGAATTTCTCGAACTAATGTATAGAAGGCATCATCAACACCCTGAAATACATAAAAAGTATTAAAATGTGAATATATATGATGGCTTCATGTGTACAAGTTACAGATTTCCATTTATTAATGGAAACAATATTGAGAAAGGATTCTTTATGTTTCTCTTCAGGCAACTGAATATATATTACATATATTAGACTTTCGGATTCTTAAATGTAATTTGCACAGATATTTTGTCAATATTATAAACAGGAACACTAACTTTCACAATAGGCAAGGATAATCAATGGCACAGAATTTTAAATAAGGTAATGACTTTTTCACAGGAGATCTTAATTTGCTACTATTTTTTTCCACATTGGCAAACCTCAGTCACCAAAATCCAAATGCATTTGTGTTTGTGTGTGTGTGTGTACACTTAATTGTCCTTGTGTTTCTGGACTTTCGATATAAGCCATATGCAGCTGTAAACTATTTTCATAAATCTTCACACACAGTAACAGTATTTGAGCTATACTTACGTAAAATCCAATGGATTTAATATTTACCAGGAAGTAAACAGTATTCAAACATCCTATTCCAATAATTTATTAAGAAGTAAACAGTATCTTAACATATTATTTCAGTTGTCAAATAACATATATTAAGGGATTCGTTTCAATTCATATATTTATCAATTAAAAAAAAAAAGGTTTAAAGAGACCACAACACAGGATAATACCACTTTAAAAAACCTAATACCTCAGATTTGTGGAGAAATCAGCTAAATCATTTGAAAGGTCTTGTGGTTTACCAATTTGGAGGAGATTCTCTCTTTATTCCATAAAGTTTTAATTTCTGTTTAATACATTAGGTATTCAAAAGCTTGCCATATAAGGCCAAATATCCTGCCTTCAGAGTTAAAGAGTCATTGTGACCACCATCTATTTATGATTAACGTTCAAGGTTGTTTAAATTTAATGGCTAAAAGTGATTTTAAGCCATAAAAATTTTCAGCCTAATAATCAACAGTGTGAAAAATGGCAGTCTAAAAGTGGGAGAACAGTAGATTTTAAACCTGCAATACTTAAATTATGCCAGATCCATACACAAGCCAATTCTTGTCATGTCTCCACTTAAAAGTATAAATAAAAGCAAAAAAAAAAAAAAAAAAAAGAAAAAATATAATTCTCTCTGTATTTTAAAGCCTGTTCAACTGAGTAGTAACTATAAAAAGAAAATTTGTTAACCTCACAATATACTTCCAAACCTAGGCAGCAGAGGGAGTCTTAGAAACAAATACCCAACATATCAAGTTGTATAAATCAACCCACTTGAAGAACAATGAAAGCTGGGTTTTTACTCATTGTAATCAGTTCTGTGGATAATATAAATTATGTAAATAAATATAAAAATTATACATGTAAAAATATTCAAGTTATATTATCTTAAAATTAATTTAAAATGTTAAGTGGGCTGGCTACGGTGGCTCATGCCTGTAATCTCAGCACTTTGGGAGGTTGAAGTGGGTGGATCACTTGAGGTCAGGAGTTTGAGACCAGCCTGGCCCACATGGTGAAATTCCGTCTCTACTAAAAATACAAAAATTAGCTGGGCATGGTGGCAGGCGCCTGTAATCCCAGCTACTTGCAAGACTGAGGCAGGAGAATTGCTTGAACCCAGGAGGCAGAGGCTATAGTGGGCTGAGATCACACCACTGCACTCAGAGTGAGACTCCATCTCAAAAAAAAAACCCCCCAAAATGTTAAGTGATATTTCTCCTTTAAGGTACTAATAAGATTAATATTTCAAAATAATAAAATTTAGAACATGAATACTGAAAATTAGCTACAGTTAATGAATTTTCACAATAGATCTGTAATTCAGGAAAGCATGACCAGTATTTTAAGAGGTAAACAGAATGGGAATGAGAGGCTTGTCTGTAGTAAGAACTAACAGTAGGATAAAAACAGTATTAACTTATTTGAGCACTAGTGAATAAATGTCTCCAATAAAGTCCCCAAACTGCACTCATTGATGTTCCCACTTTATAATATCATGACTGATACAACACAAACATATGCTTTTGTTTCTCCCAAAGAAGAAAGGAAAAGTGGTTAAGAAATAATTTATCAGCAACACAATACCATCATCAAGGCTTGATTATATATAGGTATGTGTATGTATCTCTTTAGGCTGACCTCTTTAACACATACAGAGGAGGAAATTTCCAATGATGTAATAAAAATTATCGTGTAGCTTGCCAGCACTTGACAATTTAGAATCATAACCCTTAGAATGTGATGGGATCTTAAAAGAGGATCTAATCTAACTCCCTTACCCTGCATGAATTAATTCCCTTTGATCACATCCTTATGTAATCTATTCCATTTCTACTACTTTTTTAATGAAGAAAAATGCCAATGATACCAAAATGGTAAAGCAGAAAAAAAAAAAAATAAGAAACCATGTGATGGATACAGAGAAGACACATTTTATGGTGAAAACACAGAATTTGATAACATTACTTTCTAAGATTCTGACAAAGATTTTAGGCTCACATTGCACTGAACTCTGCTCTCTACATCATCTTATTAAAATTAAATAATTTTTACTGGGTGCAGTTGCTAACACCTACAGTCACAGCAATTTGGGAGGGTGAGGCAGGAGAATTGTCTGAGGCCAGGAGTTTGAGACCAGCCTGGGCAACATAGCAAGACCTCATCTCTATTTTAAAAATAAATAGTAAAAAAATTAATTTCAATGATGAGAGAAATATCACAATTACACAGAGCAGTGAATTCTTTTTTCTCATATGAGAACTAATCATTCTCACATACACACAAAGATCAAAGTAGTATCCCAGTAATTATTTTGGTTAAACATGATCTTTTTCAGAACTGAGAAAAGTTAATTTATATATGTTTATCATTGTCAAATAAGTTTTATTTATTCATTCATTCATTCATTCATTCATTCATTCATTCATTCATTGCTAGAGCTGGGGTCTCATTATGTTGTCCAGACTGGTCTTGAACTCCTGGCCTCAAGCAATCCTCATACCAAGTTCTGGGATTACAGGTGTGAGCCACTGACCCTGGCCCAAAATTTTTTAATTTTTACTTTTTTTTAGAGATGGAGTCTCTCTCTGTTGTCTAGGCTATAGTGCCAATGGCACCATCATAGCTCCCTTCAACTTCAAACTCTGGGCAATCCTCCTGCCTCAGCCTCCCAAGCAGCTTATACTACAAGTGCACACCACCACAATCAGCTTGTCAAATAATTTTTTTTTTTTTTTTTTTGTAGAGACAGAGTCCTGCTCTGTCGCCCAGGTGCAATCTTGCAATTCAGCTCACTGCAACCTCCACCTCCCACGTTCAAGCAGTTCTCCTGCCTAAGCCTCCAGGTAGCTGGGACTACAGGCGCACACAGCCATGCTCAGCTAATTTCTTTTTTATTTCAATAGAAACGGGGTTTCACTGTGTTGCCCAGGCTGGTCTCAAACTCCTAAGCTCAGGCAATCCACCCACCTCACGTGAGCCACTGCACCCGGCCATAAATCTTTTTTAAAAAATTTGTATTTAACTTTTAAATTTTTAATTATTACCAAGTATAGTTCTTTTTTATATAAATTACTTCCATGTCTACTAAAAAAGCAAGGATTCATCACATCAAACAATTGTGACATTCACCTATAGTCACAGTATAAAACACAATTTGCACAAATTAGAAATTTTAGAATAGTATATGCTTACACCTTTGTTTTAAATTAAAGCATAACACTTAATTTATTTTACTCTAAATGGTTCTATTCTTAAAATAATCTAATGGTGAGACAATAAGAGGAGAAAATTAAAAACCACCACCTAAATCTGGTCATGGTACTCTTATTTAAAATGTACAGCTTTTCAAACTGCATTGTTAAATTTGCAATAATTTAGAGACAGTGGTAAAATTTAACATGCAAAATTGCTTTAATTGCAAAATACTGCTTTACACAATGACACTCAAAAAATATTGAGTTCGTAAATTTCAATAAAAATTAATGCCAGTCGGCTGGGCGCGGTGGCTCAAGCCTGTAATCCCAGCACTGTGGGAGGCCGAGGTGGGTGGATCACGAGGTCAAGAGATCGAGACCATCCTGGTCAACATGGTGAAACCCCGTCTCTACTAAAAATACAAAAAATTAGCTGGGCATGGTGGCGTGTGCCTGTAATCCC